TCGGGACAGCTGCCGGGGAAGCCTGCCTGTGCGATGTGGGTGCCCGCTGCTGGGCCGGCGGCCGCTCTCCCTGGCCGGCTCCGGGGAGGAAGTGGGGCTCGGGTCTGTGTCCTGTCCGTGTGGTTTGGGCGGCAGCACGGGGAATGGGGAACAGTCACGTGTGGCTTTGCTCTGTGGAGTAACCAACGTGTAATACATCCCAGGCTGTGCACACAGGTGTGGCCGTCTTGACCAGAGGCGTCTCTCAGTATATTTTTTTACACGTCACACGACCTCACTTTAATTAGGCCTCGGGAACGTGACCCTTGGTGTTTGGGTGACCTTCCTGCCCTTGGCTGGGTAAAGAAGGGGAGAGGGACCTGGGACTCCTGAGCGGACCTAGCACTTGGCTGTGTATTCCCTGGGTGTGTTTGACCGGGACTTCCTGCCACAGGCCATCGCTTCCCCCACAGAACTCTGTCCCGGAATCTCCGCAGACTTCCTGGCTTCTTACTTTCAGTACATTCCCAGACTTAATCAGACGGGTGACCCTCTGTCGTCCCCCCCTCCCCCGGCAGAAGACCCTGCCCACCGCAAGCAGCCAGCAGGTGGCAGGCCAGCCCTGCTGTCCCAGGTCCTTTGGCTGTGCGGTGGCCTCCTGGTCAGCCCCGTTCACCCTGCATTGTGGGAACTGTCTCCAGAGAGAAGGAGGTGTGGAGGAAGAAGCCAGCTCACACAGTCCCTTTCTTCCCCTTTGAGATGATAACCAGGGACCAGTCTGGCCTCTGAGTGAACTCACCCGCCCTCAGGGACATTGTGCCCCTTCACTGACCTCCTCCCGTCTGGAGTCCTGCAGCATGGATGTCCTCCTGGGCTGGAAGGAAGGGCCAGCCTCTGCCCCCACCCCCACACCTTGGGTTCAGCTGACCGGGATGACGGGAGGTGTCATGAGGAGGAGTAGGACTCGAACTCAGGAGCTTGTGCTTGCCAGGCAGGCATGGTGCCATTAAGCTAAATCCCCAATCTGACCTTGAATCTTCTGAAGAGACGCAGAGGGTCCCATAGCCTCCTCCCCTGGAAGAAGGGCCTGTGCAGGGGCTTCGGTGCTCATGAAGGCCAGCTCTGGCAGCTTGGCTGGAGAGCAGTTGTGTCTTTGTGAAGCATAAGGACACAAGGGGCACGGTGACTGGCACTCCCTCCCACCTGCTGCTCTGCTCCAGTTCTTGCCTAGAACTCCCCGCTCCTTCCCAAGAGCCCCAGCTCTGCCCTGGCCCCCTGGTCCCACCCAAACTTCCTCTCTCTGGACCGTAAGTCATCTACAGACTGGCCCGCCCCTCTGCACCCCGCTTCCCTTCCCCAAGCTTCCTCCTAAAGTTCGCACTCAGTCATCGGTACGCCTGCCCCTATGGGCTTCGCTCTGCAGCCCCTCCCGGCCCCCACACACCTCTCCCCTTGCCCCTGACACCTTCTGTCTCCCCTCCCCAAGTGCCCTCCTCCCTGTCTCCCTCACCTGGGGGTTGTCATTCACTCTTGGAAGCCTGCAGGGCCGACTCCCGTCTGCCATTGGTGCTGGTGACCACTCCCTCTCTGTGACCTGAGCACGCTTCATCTAGGCGCTGCAGGCCACAGCGGGCTGCGTTATACTTGTTCCCTCTGTGAGACCAGGCTGCCTCCCTTTCCTCATGTCCCTGGTGCCCAAGGGACTGCTTTCCTTCTGCACGCCTCCAGGTCCAGTCAAGATGCCCTGTCATGGGAGCGGTGGCCCCAGACCTCCTTACCTTAGGGCCAGCTAGCAGCACAGAGCCTCTGGGAGGAGTTTGGGTTTGGGTTCAGCCAGGTGTAAGATCTTGGCCCTTTATCCAATGCTGCAGTTACTGGCTGGCTGATATTTGAGATTGTTACCACTGGCATAGCATGTGCCAGAACCCCAGGTTGATTTTTCAGATCCCATCACTGAACATAAAAAATGGTGAGCCAGTTCGGGTTGTACCCCTTCCCCACGGTGCCAGGGGCCAAGATTGCTCTCCTCTAGCTTGATCTTGGCCATTTTCCCAGAGTGTCTACGATTCTGTCCCAACAACGATCTGTCGTTACACCTCCAGCCTTTTCTGTGCTTTCTTTTTCTCTTACTCTTTGGAGACAAGTGGCTGCCTTGGTCAGATACTCCTCTGCCCCTGGTCGATGCCTGCTGTGGACAAGCCCCTCGGTGCCTTTTCAGATTCTCCAGCCTCATGAGACGGCCCGGTCGCTGGGTCCCCTGCACCCTCACCACCTGGTGCTGAGCCCCCTGTCTAGAGCAGGGCAGGTGCGGCTGCAAATCACTGTAGTGAGTGATGACCCACGAGGGCCTCCTGGCTCACTTGAATCCTCTCTTCTGCCTGATCTCACTCGATCCAGTAGAAGTCGTGGTGGCTGTGGTGGCAGCGTGCACACCCCATGCTGCAGATGGAGGTTTCTGCCCTGCCTGGAGCTTTTCCTGCAGGTTCCACTCCTGCCCTGTTGTCTGCCAGGTGGGCTGTTCTAGGAGAGGAAGCAGAATGTGGTGCACCTGTGAGGCCCCACAGCCAAGGAGGGCGCAGCTGAGCCGTGTATGGGCCCTTTCCGGGCTGCCTCCTGCCCATGCTGCCTGCTACACATGGGGCGGGCTCTGCCCCCATCACTGCTGTGTGGAGACATCTGCGCTTTCCCAGCCAGATGTGGAGCCTCGTGAGTCCTGCTAGTGCCCCAGCTCTGTCCTAATAACTGGATGGGAGCGAGCAATTGCTGTTCTCCTCTAGTAACGGGAGCGAGGCTCAGACCCCACTTTAAACAGATGCCATGGTGTCAGTCCTGGCTCCGGCTGGAGGACAAGCTGGGCATCGCCACCTCCCACTCCCACCTGGGGCACACCACATCTGAGAGCTCATGGCGGGGCATCACCCACATTCCTTCCCGTGGCCTCGTGCAGGACCCCATGGATCCCAGAGGATCCATGAGGAGAGCGCCCACTCGGGCCCACTGGAGCCCGAGGAAACCC